ATCTTTAAGTCTCTGTAATTTTCTAAAATTTTTTATCATTCATTGTTCCCAGGTGGCCTCGCAGCTCTAATGTACACAGACACTTTTCAGACGTTTGTGATCATCGCTGGGGCTTTCGTCCTCACTGGCTTCTGTGAGTAAAAATGTTCCAGGGTCTCATCTGTGTTCTTTCTGGTTTCCGTAAGTAAGAAGGTGAACACATTGTTCATAGTGTGGAAAATACATTCTGGTTTAGAATGAAGACAAACACAGAAATGTTTGCAAAGTGGCGATCAACTGTTTGTTCTGATTAAGCAGATGATTCACACTTTCAGTTAGGACAGCCTGACACTGCAAGATAGCAACAACCACAGGAAGTCTGTAATCAAACTGACACCAAGATGGCTTCTCTGGGATTCTCTTCCCCCACCTGTCATCTTCAGCCTTTGCTGAAATCGGCGGCTACAGCGCCCTGCTTACCAAATACTACTCTGCCATTCCGAGTAACTTCTCCTCCCTGGACACCCAGCGCTATAACATCTCCTCCCAGTGCTACACCCCGAGGCAGGACGCCTTCAGCTTGCTGAGGGACCCAACCGTGGGGGACCTTCCCTGGCCTGGCGTGGTGTTCGGCATGACGATAGGGGGGATCTGGTACTGGTGCTCTGATCAGGTGAGCAACACCATGTGAGCTGAACTGAAACAAACCAAGTCTCTTTGAACTCTATGTACACAACCAGAGATGGAAGGGAAAGGGAAATGAAGCATCCTGAGGGGTTTCATGCACTGCAGCACATTCTGCTGTTAAACATTTGTTGGATTTAAGATTTGGGCAAAGGGCAGTGAAATGTATTGGTTCAGGGATGAGCACTTAAGGGTAATTGGTCATGTGGAAAAAAAAAACAACAACCTACATCCTCTGTTAGATCTTAGGTTTTGCAGATCAGAGTGGTTAAACTTTAAAGTAATCTGATCCTGAACAGGCTGTAAAATATAACCACAGAAAACTGTGGCAGCAAAAAAGGCTGAAAAAGACAACTACTCTCCACCTTAGGAGGTTTGCCGTGATGTTTGGTTTTCAACAGAGGTAGTGCTGTGCATTCTGGATGAACGTCCATCTAATCTTGTGTCACATTCCCAGAAGTCTTGTGGTTCAATTTTGTCTCACCAAAGAACTGGCATGCAGCCTATGAAAAAATAACAGGCCCAAGATTTCCCCCAGTTTATTCTAAGCCTGGCGGGCCACCAGGCGTTACTTGGGCCCCCACCAAGCTAAGCATTGCTTATTTATTTTAGTTTTTTTTTTTTATGTTTGCGTTTTTTTAAGACTTAATAGTGCGGATTCAAGCATTAATCTTCCAATAACACATAATTATCAAGTGATATTTTCAAATTTCCTGTCGACTGTAAACATTTTTTAACTCAAAAACACAGCAGGCCACTGAATGAACGACTGCCCCAGTGGCCCTACTGCCGGGCTTAGCAAGTTTTCAGGGGGAAACTGTGAGGAGAGACTTGAGAATTTATGTTCAGCATCTGATCTTAATGAGTTTTTTATTCATAAATAAATTTTGGAAATTGTTTACCCCCTGTTCTCTCATTTCCCAGTAACAAAGCCATCAGTGGTTTCCATGCCTGTCTATGCTTGTTCTCGTCTCCAGGTGATTGTCCAGAGGTGCCTGGCAGCTCGTAGTCTCACCCATGTGAAGGCTGGCTGTATTGTTTGTGGCTACCTCAAACTGCTTCCCATGTTCCTCATGGTGTTCCCCGGCATGATCAGCAGGATCCTCTACCCAAGTAAGTCGCCAAAGCAAATGATCGTTAGACCCCTAAAAACCTGTCTGAATGGATTCAGTCTATAAATTCTTACTCTAGACTAGTCCTTAAGGCTAGACTTTAGTTTTTGAGGGGATGACAAAATAAAAATGCTCCCAGTTAGGAGTTTTATTTTATCTGTACAGATAATCATAAGTTTTTATTATGAGGGGTTCCCAGAATTGGCTTGTCTGAACAAACTCTTCATTGGTTTGACAACCATCTGACCAACAGGTGTCCATATCCATGATGGAGTTCCTCAGGGCTCAGTTCGGGGCCGCTTTTGTTTTGAAAACAGTCTTAATTTAAATGTGCTTTGTCTTCTTGGAAGCAGTTCCAGAAAAACATGAGGTGCTGTTGGTACTCCTTGGTTTTAAGGCTGCTCTGGGTGATTTTAAGAAGTCATCATATGTCTGTAAATGTTTTACTTGAGGATTCTTTTTACTAACTTATTTATGACGGTGTTAAATTTACGTTAAGCTGCCAGTCTCTGCCAGAGTTCTCTTGTAAAAGAGATTTTTAATCTCAGGGGGATTTGCTTGGTGAAATAAAGGTTTACAGCCAGTGTCCCAGAAAATGTCTGAAGTTTGCTGATGAAACACATGACTTCAATCTCAGCTATAGACATAAAGCATAACAGTGATCGTGTTTCTGTCTCTTTGCAGATGAGGTTGGCTGTGTGGTCCCAGAAATTTGTAAGGAGGTCTGTGGAACCGAAGTGGGCTGCTCTAACATAGCTTATCCTAAACTGGTGGTTACAGTCATGCCCAGTGGTAAGAATAAATACAGATTGGAAGTTTACATACACTAATCTTAAAATAAGTATTTGAACACCCTGCGACTTTGCAAGTTCTCCCACTTAGAAGTCATGGAGGGTTCTGGAGGGGTCTGAAATTTTCATAATCTAAAAAAGAATCAGAAAATCACAATGTATGATTTTTTATATATATATTTTATTTGTGTGTTACTGCTGCAATTAAGTATTTGAACACCTGTGGAAATCAATGTTAATATTTGGCACAGTAGCCTTTGTTTGCAATCACAGAGGTCAATCGTTTCCTGTAGGTTTTCACCAGGTTTGCACACACTTCCACACAAATCTTCTCTAGATCAGCCAGGTTTCCGGGATGTTTGAGTAGTTTCCCACACATCTACTGTCCAATTCAATTCATTATCTGACCCAAACTGTCACATGTAAAGCAATTAGTGAGGACGTTCAAGAACAATCCAGGAACCAGGAAGGCTTCAGCCTGAAGTGGAAACTGCTAGAACTCCAGCGTCACTGTCCAGGTTTAAGACAATCCACAATAAAATTCAAGTGCAGCGCTTGTTTTTAAAAAGTTGCACATGTTGAACATTCTTTAACGCGTCAGAAATGAGCAGGACCTTTATGCTCCAGTGACTGTGTTCAAACTTCAGGTTGGAAATTCTCACCAGGTTTTCGTTTTTAAGTTTCACGCTGAATGTTCATCTGTCTCTACTGTCCAGGTTTGCGAGGGCTGATGCTGGCTGTCATGCTGGCAGCTCTCATGTCTTCTTTGGCCTCCATCTTTAACAGCAGCAGCACTCTGTTCACCATGGACATCTGGACCCGCATCAGACCACAGGCCACCGAACGGGAGCTCATTGTTGTAGGCCGGTAAATGGATCATAATACGAACAACAGAAGCCCAGTTACAGTTCCTTGCAAAGATGTGCCTTTAAGTTTTCCACTTAGGGAACGCGTACTGCTCTGTTTTGCTTAAGATTTGAGGTGATAGACTAACCAATTAGAGCATAATTTTGAACTTAAAAGTCAAGTCCATTTTATTCGTACACCATACTTCAGCAGCAAAGCAAGACAAAGTGCTTAACACCCTAAAACATAGTACAGTAAGCAAATATGAAGCAGTAATAAACATTAAATTTTGTCAAATTACTTCATCAAAGTCATCAAGAAAATATACAGCAAATATATTGATTAATGTTCCTGTTGTTATGAATCAACTCTTACCACATGTGTTTTCAGCCTTGATTTAAAAGTGCCTCGTCTGTTTTGCAGTTATCTCAAAGTTTGTTTCAGAGAAGCGGAGAATGAAAACCTGAATGCTGCTTCTAAATGTTTCGTTTTGGGAATACGGAGTAGACTGGAACCAGTAGACCTGAGTGGTCTGGAAGGTCCAACGATGCCCGGCTTTCAATGACGATACCAAAACGGAACTTTTTTTTAAATGCAAAATGCTCACTGTGATGAAATCACTCTGCATGATGTGCAAGATGAAACATGGTGGTGGCAGCATCATGGGACAGGGAAACTGGCCAGAGTAAATGAAAAGGATCCAGATTCCTTGCAGCTGTAACTCAGTGGCTCTACAGAGGATTGACTTGAGGATGTGGTGTAACATTAAGGAACACAGACACATGAATGTACAAACTGTGAAAAAAAAACCCCTCATGGTTATGAATACTATTGCAGGGCCCTATATCCATATAACTATATGCTGTTCCTCTGCTCTTCAGTGTCTGGGTTCTGTGTATTGTGGCCATCAGCATCTGCTGGATCCCCATTGTTCAGGCAGCGCAGAGTGGTCAGCTGTTTGACTACATCCAGTCAATCTCCAGCTATCTGTCTCCACCCATTGCGTCCGTCTTCCTGCTGGCTGTTTTTGTCAAACGGGTCAATGAAACAGTAAGAAAGGATACTCCGATATTAGTTTATTTTAGGTCATACCCTTTAAACGCAAACACAATGTTGGTTTTTCTCTCCCATGAACCTGCAGGGAGCTTTCTGGGGCCTGATTTGTGGTCTGGCGATGGGTCTGTGTCGGATGTTGCCCGAGTTCTGGTTTGGCACCGGCAGCTGTATTTTCCCCTCTCAATGCCCTTTCCTGGTGTGTGGCATCCACTACTTACACTTTGCCATCATCCTGTTTACCTGCACATCAGTGCTGGTGCTTCTGGTCAGCTTCTGCACAGAGCCCATTGAGGATAAACATGTAAGTGAGAGATTTAATGGATGGGTCAGGCTGCAGAAAATGACTGGAGAGGTCAAAATCTTTTCTTTCAGCTCCATCGTCTGGTATTCAGTCTACGTCACTCTAAAGAGGAGAGGGAAGATCTGGACTGGGAACAAGAAGAAAGAGCCAGAAGAGCCCGCAAAGAGGCGAAGGAGAGGATGAGAGCGAAGGCTAATGCAGATACAGGTGGGCAATGAGGAAGTAACACAAAGAAAGACAAAAAAACCCCCATCCACTACAAACATACATTCTTTCTTTTAGAAACTGAGCACGATAAAAAGTCTGGACTCTGTCGCCTGGTTGGTGGATTCTGTGGACTCAGCGGAGACCAACAGGTTCAGGATGAGGAAGCAGCCGAGGATCCAGAGCCTCAGATGCCCGACATCAGTGAGAAAGCAGTGTGGAAGAACATTGTGGACTCCAACGCTCTGGTCATGATGGCTGTTGCAGTTTTTATGTGGGGATACTTTGCTTGACTGAATCATTTTGTTCGGAGCTGAAAATGTTGTAGCTGCCGTGTGATCGCATCGGCTGCCGATGCGATTATTATTATTTACTGGAGTAAATATTCAAATAAAACATTGTCGCCATCTGCTGGCAGTGTTTTGTTATTGCACCAGAGTGAGCTCTTTGAAACTCTTGGAAGCAACGTCAGATGTTAACAAAAAATATACTTTACAACAAAAATATGTAAATTGTCACTTCAATCAATCAATCAATTAAATTTTCTTTGTATAGCACATTTCAGCAGCAAGGCATTTCAAGGTGCTTTACATAATTAAAAAACAAAATGAAAACAGCATGCGACATTGAATAAACAGTAAGAAAGAGATTTTTTTTGGGAAAAAACAAACAAACAAACAAAAAACATACTTTTGTTACGGAATTTAAGCGCCTGTCGTCGCCGGACTCCGCCGTCCGTTTAACACGGGTATCCAAGCCCCGTCCACCTATCACGCGAATTTTTGCGCCAGGACTTCGCCGTCCTACTCGGATTTTTGTGCACTATTTTTACCTGTTAGAGTCTAGAATTTACAGGGTTTTTCTGTGCGCGCAATGACCCTCAATCACTCGCCACTTTTACATAAATAGATAAAAAGTGAAGAGAAAAACATTAAAAACATCGAAGACATCAAAGACATTTTGCTGTCATGCTCTCTAACCCTGATTTATCCTCGTTTGGTTCTGGTTCTGGGAATGCAGAGCAGTCCAGAACCAGAAGATCTGAGGGGTCTAGACGGTTGGTACAGCAATAACAGATCTTTAACGTATTGTGGTGCTAAACCTTTCAGTTATTTATAAACTAACAACAGTATTTCAAAGTCTATTCTCTGAGCTACAGGGAGCCAGTGTAGGGACTTTAAAACTGGTGTTATGTGCTCTAGGTACCTGGTTTTAGTCAGAACGCGAGCAGCAGCGTTCTGGATCAGCTGCAGCTGTTTAATTTGTTAGTCAGACCTGTGAAAACGCTGTTGCATTAATCAATGCGTCTAAAGATAAACGCATGGATGAGTTTCTCAAGATCGTGCTGAGACATTAGTCCTCTAATCCTGGAGATGTTGTTCAAGTAATAGAAGGCCGACTTTGTGACTGTCCTAATGTGTCATCACTGACACGTTATACTTAACATATAATTTCACAAATAAGGAATTTAGGGTTTTCTTGCTTTAAAGTAACCTGGTCTAGCTTTTACATCTACCATTATGGTAACATCAATACATGTAAGTAATCTGAGAAAAATGTGCTTCTGAATTAAAGTGAAGGATGATCATAAATGCATGTCCAAATACTTTGGATTGTGAACTGCTTCTTTGTGAACAGAAAACTAAAGCCCATTTCAGTCTATACTTTAATTGTAAAGACTAAAAGAAAAACAAACAAATCCTTCAAGGTTTATGTTTATTTAAAAAATAACCTAAAAAGTGGGACGTACATATGTGTATGCAATGGTTGTTGCTCTGATACCCATCATACCTAATGCAAACAAGGAAGAATATTAGTCATGTAAGAAGCCTCAGTGGTGCCTCTGAGGAAAGAAAGATGATGAAAGAAAACTTGACAAATTCTGTAGGGACTCAGGGTCAAAACGGTTCTTTAGGTTGGAAAGATCTGGAAAGGTCTCAGATCTGGTTGAGATCAAATTTCACTCAAGGGTCAAAATGGTCTAGTCACAGTCCAGACCACATCCGATTGTCTCAGACTCCACATCCAATTGGACTGAACATGAACCATTTCATAAAGCACAACAAAGAAACATTTGTCGACATAAAAGTGGTAGAGATGTACCTCAAAAAAGACTGGTTCTACAATGTAATGGTTTAGGGGACCTGCACATAAGCACTTCAGATTATTTATACAACTTTGTGTTGCCACCATATGTAAAATCTTTGAAACAGCACAGGGAAAAGTTCACAAGCTTACTGCAGTTTCAGAGGTACATAAATTTCATCCCTGCAGCTTTAATGATCAGATTTAACAGAACGTGTTATCAGATACAAATGCCATTAAAGCATCTGGTTACACTCTGATCCAATCAGTCATTCCTAAAGGTGTGAAGGAGAGAAAGTTTAAGTAGCTCATAAATGCATTAATAAAGTTTATCCCACACATTAAAACTTTGGTTTACAAGAAATCAATGCGAACTGTAAGTGGCTGGGAACCACCTAGCTGCACCCACCCATGACAACTTAGAAAACGAGCAATGTGGATCAGCGTATAAAAAGCAGACATACCACGTAGTGGTTCAGATTTCCAGTTTTAATCATCACTTCTGTTTTATTTAAGCAGATACTTCCCATTAGCATTGTACACATCTGTAACCTACAGAGTTCTCCCATGACTACCCAACCATCTTCTCATCTCCATGCAGAGTTTCAGCATCATTCATCACATCAGTTCTTCAATGTCCAGTCTGTCAGCTTGCAGGGATGGGGAGGGAGGTTAAAAGCAAAGGAGGAGAGGGCAAAAATAAATAGATTCCATTTTTTTATTGCCCCCTCCCCCGGTATTGAAAAGTCAGAGCCAACTCCAGGCACTGTTCTTGTACGCGCAATAATTTAAGTGGACCCAGTGGAGCTGGATGGAGTGTGTGAAACATTGGAAAACTGTGCAACTTTTGTTGTGTTCTGATCATCCGTGAGGTATCTGATGCCTCGGTCTCCAGAAGGGTGGGGTAAGAGGTAGGGGGGCTTTTAAGGCTGGAAGCTGGTATAGAGAGTTTCTGGTGTTTGTGGTGGATAGTTGAACACACTTCAAAGTATGAATGATGGCTCTGTTGAGGTGGAGGGAAGGATAAAAGAAGGGTTTTGGGGGGCGAGGGTTAAAATAAAGATGGCATATTTAAAAAAAAAAAAAAAAAAAACTTCAGTAGGATGACAGACTGATACACGAAGAACACAGTCCTCATGAATAAAAGCAAATACAACAGCAAACATTCAGACACAAAAACCCAATAAAAACAAACAAAAACAAAAAAAAATGGCAAAACAAGCAAACGAATCAATCAAACCATACAAAGTGACATCAGGCCTTTCCAAAGTGACATCTAGTTTCTCTTTTTAAATCCCATTCAAGTCTGTCTCCCACAATTCTTTGTAAACCAGACAGTGGCTCCCATTTATGGCTGGTCAGCAAGGTTAGGGTCCGCTCCGCAACAACAACCGGGCGGCTCTCTGAAACCTGGACTTGGAGGGGGAGGGGGGCACCAATGACTCCGAATGAGCATCAGTGACGAGCAGTAAGTTCAGCAGCATCAGCAGGGGACTGATCAACTTAACACATCATTACAGCACATTCAGAACAGAGAAATGCATGGTGCAGGACAGCTACAAATGGCATCTTGTACAACCGGAAAAAAAGAATCAAGTTTGCTTTATACAATCACATTTCTGTAATAACTCAAAACATTCTGCACTGAAAGGTTTTACATGTCCCTTGAAGCCCGTCTGTACAGCTAAACATGGATGCTTGGGGCAAAACACAACGCGGGCCACGTGTTGGGAGCTGAAAGCACACTGGTGGGCATTACATTTCTATACGTCACTTTATGAATGCTAATCTCAATCCAAACACTGCAACGTTTTTACATAAAATCGCCTACTGCAACATCCATGTGCATATTTAAACAGAACCCCCTCAGAGACGAGACTGACAGCAGCAGGAGAGGACCCCAACCCTGGTGTACAAACTTTTATTAGCCACTCTAGGGGGGGAGAGAAGGATTCTGGAGCAGTTGGAAAGAGAAATAAAAAGGCAAGGAGTGTGATGCTTCGCTTTCTTCTTCAGATCTCAACCTCTCTCTATTGAGAGAAAGAAGGAGAAAGAAGAGGAGACAAGCAAACAGTCTTGGAGTGCTGATTCCTCCCCCGTTGCCCTCTCTGTACCCCAGTTCTCAGACCAGTGATGTAGAGACGGGAGGAGGTATGCAATGAGATGAGTCTTGGTTTGCACCCTCTACCTGGCCTCCTCCCTCCGTTCTTCCCTCTTGGTGCGGATGGGCTGGGAGCCGTCAGCAGGCTGCTGCACCCAGTTGTTGTCATGGAGCCCAACCCGGCAACCCGGAGTGTCCTTGTCCGTACGCCGGCAACACATCCAGTAGGAACGTCCGTAAGGCAGGTCATGGTGGTAAGGTTTGGGGTGCCAGCGGCACAAAGAAACGTCCCCACGCTCATACTGACGCTTGCACTGTTTGCAGGGGTCGTCTCTGTAGAGGGGGTCCTGGTTCCAGCGTGAGTCCACCGCGTGCACCCCGTAGGTTTCGATCAGTGCCTTAAAGTAGTGGCAGGTGCACTTAAGGGCCGCCAGAGAGCGAGTGGGTAGGTAGCTGAAGATGTTCACCATGATGTGGTCGGGGAGCAGCAACATGTACTGTCTTGGCTCGAGGAGCCGCTGGATCTGAAACCGGATCTCCAGGAAGTCGTGGGACACATGGCGGTAAAGGCGACACAGCGAAGGGTCAGAGCAGTCCTCCCTGACACCAGGGGAGTCTGGACGTGTCGCCCGCTCCACTGAGCCCACTGTTACCCCTGTGCCAGGACTGTTGTTGTTGGCGCAGTCCAAAGAGCACATTCCTGCCCCGCTGCCAGATGTCTTTGCAGTTATATCGTCCTCTGGTCCCCTAGGGGACTGAAGGAAAAAGAGCTGTCCAGGAGGGGGATCGTCTGATGATGGGTCAGTTGAGCTGCCAACACCACCACCACCCCCTCCCGCTGTAGGCATTGCGAAACACACCGTTTCCTCCTGCACATTCTCTGTGCTGTCCTTGCCGTAGAAGACACACTGGTCCACAGCACCCGTCACCACAACCTCCACATGGAACCCGGTCACTCGTTCCCTCCCGACACCCCCTTTCTTCTCTCCTGTGGAGAGTTCCTGGTTGGGGTCCGGGGTGCCGCAGGACGGATTGTCTTGATGGAGATCTCCGTCTGGTTTGGGGGTGGAAGCTGTGGCGGCAAGCAACAGACTACTGGGATCTCTTGAAGACGGACTGACGAGCTGGTACAAGTCACAGGTGATTTTCTCTTTGGCCCTGGCAGCTGCCTGGTTACTCCCCCCACCACAGCTCATAAACATACAGCGGGACCGGCCAGCTGGCTCCAGTTGTGAGCGCGGGTCCATATTTGACACTCTGAAAGCTATCCTCACCTCCCCATGGGTGTGGTTGGGTGGTGGAGGTGGTGTTACAGTGTCCCCTCTTCTG